GGGGGGGGAAGCTGTACATAGTCTTCCCATCTTCAAGAAAGGGAGAGAGAGAGAATCAATACACCAGTGTTGTGAATATGTTGACTCAAGAGAGATAGAGAGGAAGGGAGAGGAGATAATGAATATATAATAATATGATAATTTTTGTGTTCAATTATATCTCCTGGTAGAGATGACAAGAAGAGAGAAAAAGAGGAGGAATTTTAACATGAAAGTTCAGTATGATAATGATGTCTCGTGATGGAGAGTTTGTGTACGGAGACTCATTCTTGTTAATGAATAGTTACTGTTGCAAATGTTGTCGACTGTTACTGATCTGATCTAGCAACAACTAGGTTTGCGCTCTTGTGGCATAGTTATGAACTGAAGTGAACTCTTTGTATGTTGGGACAGTTTGTCTCTTTCAATATATGAAAATAAGAGGGTTGGGCATGATCAAGACAATAAAATGATGTAAATGCCTTTCTTGTTATCCCTCCGTCTATAAGGTGACTGGACATGAAAATAAAAGTTTAATGATATTTTCTTTTTGTCTTTGTTTCTCTTTAATTTTCTTTTGATGTTGCTGTTAATCCAGCTGCCCTTGAGTTGATATACTTTGGGCTCTCGTGGTCTAGAGGTGTGATGTTCGCTTCACATTCAGATTGTCCCGGGTTTGAAACCTGAAAGCTACGGGAAAAATAATTTTTCTCGCTCCTTTCACCTACTTTCTTCCTGTTCTCTAGTCCTGTTTTATCGTCTGCTTTCATCTCGACTTTCTTCATTTATTCCTACTTTTACCTCAATTTTCTGGTAGTCTCAATTTGATTTCTATTCAAATCCCACTTTGTGTAGTGTTTAAATAGATGCTGTGTAATAATACGCCAAAACATTTTTTTAACAGGTTTGTTGCATTGGGCTTTTTTTTTTTCCTTTCAATTATTGACGCATTTAAGATCGATAAGTAGACAAGCTGCCTAAGCCCTGCCTTTCAGAGCCAACCACACTATGTGTTTATATGTCAGAACTCATCAGAATGATGGAGACATTCCGTAAAATATCCTCCCAAAGGAACTGAAGTGATATCTGTCACACTCAAGGCAAAAAATACCATAGATAAAGGTTTTTCCTTTTTAAACGTTTCGTATGTACAACTTCTTGATAAGTTTTTAATAGGAAATGAATAAAAGCAAAGGTTTGTTTTTATAAATGTTTATTATTTGCTAACATATAATGGGTATACATCCAGTAATCAACATATTGCCAAAAACCTAGATAGGATGATTTTAAAATCCTTGACAGTTCAGCAAGAAAGAAAAACACAAATATTGTATCCCATTGTACCATAATATAACTTTTTTAATAAATGGGTTCGGTATCTTTCGTTTTTTTAGCTTTGGGGACTGCTGTTTGTCTCTACTTGTGAAGAGTTATATATAT